AAAGAAAAAAAGAAAAGAAAAGAAACTGGCAACATAGAGAAATTTAAAAGACCGATAAGAAGCTCTAATCGAAAAGATGGAAAACTTGTATTAAAAGGCTGAGCAGTAAATAATTACGATTTATAATATGTGAACCTTGGCCTCTTAACAGTGTTCCAAAGGGATGTTTTTAATAGCTATTACGTTCATTCAGGTTCCAGCAGGTAAGATCCTCAAAGGACCAAGAAAACGGTCTGGCAGAGCAGAGGAGATGGAGGCGGCCTCCTCTGCCCGGGCAGAACCGCCCCAGAGGAGGGAGAGCGCCCGCCGCGCCCCGGGGACCATCAGCGCAGAGTCGTGTGTGGTTGCGGGAAGTCGCCGCTCGGCTTCAAGAAATCGTGGTCCCTGGAGTCCGGGTTTCTGAGAGCTAAACTTTCGCGCTACCCTCGGGCCAGACGCCCCCCAAGAATGGCAACAGGGCCAAGGCAGAGAAAGTGCGCCCTGAGGAGGGCAGCCCAGGAGAAGAGGAGGGGAGCCCCGAGAGGCAGGAACCCCCCGGGAAGGACAGCCCTCACGGGGCGGTGAGTTCTGAGTTCCCGGCACGCTTTTCCAGAACGTACCTCGCAGCGCTCCCCGGGGCCGAGGAGCCGCGCCCAGGGCGTCCGACGGGTCATCACCGTCCCCCAACCCGGAACCCCGGGGCGGAGGCACAGTCTGGGCCCAACTCCGCGGCTCCGGGAGCCGAGGGGCGCGGCGGCTCCGGCCTTCCCCGCATCCCTTCCCATGCGGCCCCGGGGCCGGAGGGGAGGGCCCGACCGTCGCCCTCTCCGCAGCGCGGAGTCAGGACTGCAGCCCCTTTAAGAGGGTGGAGACCGGGCGGCGCTGTGCACGCCTGGAATTGGAGTTCCGCTCCAGACCTGGCACCTGCCTGGGCTCCAAGACCTGCCCCGGGTGAGCGTGTGGCCCGGGAACCGCAGGCCAAAGTAGGCCTCAGAAGTAGCGAGCTCCGCCTCTCAGAGAGGGCGGGACGCAAGGCCCCGGAGGGGTGGGAGGCGCAGTGCACGTCGGGAGCTGAAGAGGGAGGGTGCGCGAGGGCCAAGTGGGGCCCCAGGTGGCGCAGGGCATGCTGGGAGCTGGAGTCCCGCACCCTACTGTGTCCGGCGCCCCCAGCGTCTGTCTGGTCTACCGGAGGCCGCAGCCGCCTGCGCCTGCGCACATGGCTTAGGCCGGCGACTGTGGAAGGCGCAGGGAGAATGGTAGGTGGTACCTTGTCGCCTTCTGCCAGTTCGGGGTCGCGGACCCCGCAGCGGGGCGGCGTCGGGGACCTGGAGGACTTGCGGCCACGGCAGGGAGGGGGTGGACGGGCGGGTCGCGCCGAGGGCGGCGGGACCTCAGCAGAGCAGGTTCCCATCCTAGAGGTCACGGGCGTGCGCAGACCGGAGGTCGAGGGACATGCTCTCGGCCAGCGCGGGCAGCCGGGACGCCGGCGAGACTGGGAGGCTGCCAGAGGGACCGGACAGGGACCGCCATGAGTTGGAACCGAAGCCCGTCTGTAGGAATAAGCGATCGTGGGCTTTGACAGAACTGCTCTAAACCCGGAGTAGAGCCAGAGGGGTCGGCGTCCCGGGTCAGGGCATCGGTGCAGGTGGTGGCGCTTACCTGAGCAGGTGGAGGAGGAAGTGCAGACCTGGGAAGGCGACACCGCGGGGGCCGGGGGGTGAGAGTAGGACTAGTCGAGGTACGACCTGGAGCTCAGGCAGAGGTCTGGAAGCTCACGTCAGTTACCTTGCCATGTGGAGGGCACCTCGGGAATGGGCGGGTCGTCGGGCTCCGGGTCACAGGCCCTGAGACGTTGATGGGTACCAGGAAGGTGGTAGGTAGGGCGCCGAGGGTGGACGAGGTGTACTCTAACACGCAACTGCCTTGTCACAGTTCGGATAAGCGCTAAGCAGAGACACAGGTTCCAGGAACCTGTTTGATGGGGGTGTCAGGTGCGGAGGTCGTGAAGGTTTAGCCTAGTTACACGCGTGAGCTGAACGCTCAAGAGTGAGCCAGAGACAAAGCTGAGAACAGAGCGTGCACAGACCCTCCGGCGGCACCATGATCTGCCTGCCTAAAGCGCGGAGAAGCCTTCTTGACAAGACCGACGCAGTAAGAAGCTGGTGAGGAGACTACACCCAAATTGTGCAGTCTTCTCCAACGGTATTTTGTCTTTGTTATGGGGAGCTGTTGAAAGGTTTCAAAGGTAGCGAGACTAGTCCGGGAAGAACAGCTAGGGGGAGGGGAGAGCTTTCATTCTATAGAGATAGAAAGTTTAGCATCTCAGAGAAATGAGACTAGAAGATGGAGAGGATGGTATTTAAGGAGCAGGGCTCAGTCGTCAGTGCTGAATAAGAACAGCTGAAGACGTCCCCTGGCCTCAGCACCTAGAGGGCTTCTGGTAACCGCATGGGACGGTTTCACTATGGAAGTGAGTTAGGATGCACACACATGGGCAGGTAGACATCACTCTCTCTAGCTCTTAGGAGGAAAGAGGCAGGGTGGACGGAAACCTGGGAAAACCTGTACGTTTTGTAATACCCAAGGGTACTTTCAGCCACCAGAGACTTTGAAGGTTCAAGAAGGTGAATGGGGATATTTGAATTTAATCCCCTCACCCAGGCCTGCCCTACACCAAAACAGTCAAGTGATCAAGTATGTAGTTTATTTGATCAAAATGATTGCTTTGTCAAAGCTCTTGTAAGTTGACCCTAGAAGACAGATGATGATTTTATTGTATCAAGTGTCTCTGGAAGAACATCTCATGTGTAATTTTCCTTCATTTTATATATGGGCATCCTTGGTACCCAGATTATATAAGTTTTTTTAAATTTTTATTTGTTTTATTAATTTTTCTTATATTAGAAATTTTCTTACTTATATTTCATGTGTATATTAGGTTTCCACTTTTGCCTTTACAGAATTAAAAAGGCTAAATTTAATGACAATAACAATATTTAACATAAGGACTGAGAAAAGCCTCATAAAGAACGAATGAAGACAAATACATTCAGAAAAGAAATCGGATGATTGCTGCAACAAAATATTAAGCGATAATAATAGTAATAATGCAAAAAAAGTAACATTCACATTGTTAGATAGAAGTATGTCTATTATAGAATACTTTGATCAGTTAACTTCTTCACAAGGTCACAGTTAAAATGTGGCTTTTCATAGTTTAGAGATTTTATTTGATATTTCCACTGCTCATCCAGATTTTATTTCAAGAATTTTGTACATTTTAACTGAATAAAATAATGGAACATATCAAATGCCCCCCTCCTTATCAAGTGGTGCACGATAATTTAATTTTCATGACATGTTACGTCTCAGTGAACATTGTTGGAGCTTCAAGGATGGGCCCTGATACTGTACTTTATGAACCTTGATTAATTTTACATGGTTTAGTCCTGTCTACATGGGCTCAAAGCTTCTTTCCTTCCCCTGTAATTATTTAGTTTATGAGCCTTTTTTTATAAATTGCAGTTTGGTCTCAGTCACTTTTGGACATGAAACACATATAGTCTTTAGACAGCTATTGATTGTCATTTGAATCACTTATTTTATGGAGAAACCTACAGGGTTAACATCAAGTTATTGAGGCTGCATTGACAGTTACAATCTTCATCTACCCTGAGTCTTGTTAATGGGCCCCCACAGCTGCCATTGCTCTTCAGAACCAGCAGCTTGGCACCACCTTGCGGTTCAAGGTTGGTAGGAGTGTTTGTAATAGATCAGGCAATTTGAGTAGATTGGAGAGGTATCTAAGTGTATCTATTTCCACTTGCCTACTCTGCAACTAACAGTGATGGTTCACAACCACTTTGGCCTAAGTCCATGTGCTCCTGCATCTGCTCTGCTGGAGTTTTAGAAAGGTACTCCTGTATGCTGTTGGTGTGACGATGTTGTCACGTGATGGGGTGCCTCAGGAGGTGACCATCAGGAGCAGTAGCCCGAGATCAGACATCATCACATCTTCTAGGTAACATGTTTGATATGGAGCCATCACTTATACAATGCAGATTAAATAATTCAGTTGCCTGAGAAGTACATTGCCCTGCTGATTAGTTTGGAAGTCATAAGGGTACTATGCCAAAATTTTTTTAGATAAAATTCATATAACAAAGTTAACTTTTAGGGCAGCCTGTGGCTCAGCCAGTAGGGTGCCAGCTCCATATACCAAGGGTGGCGAGTTCGAACCCAGCCCTGGCCAAATTGCAACAAAAATTAGCCAGGCATGTAGCAGGCACCTATAGTCCCAGCTACTCGGGAAGCTGAGGCAAGAGAATCGCCTAAGCCAAAAAGCTGGAGTTTGCCGTGAGCTGTGACGTCACGGTACTCTACCGAGGGTGACAAAGTACAACTCTGTCTCTAAAAACAAAAAAATTAACTTTTAAAGTATGTAATTCAGTAGTGAGGCTGAATCAGGAGGCTGAAGCCATGGCACTCTAGCCCAAGCCACAGAGCAAGACTCTGTCCCCCCACCAAAAATAAATTGAAATGGAAAGTTTTAAAAGATTGATTGATTGATTGGCAGGGGCAGGGTCTCATTATGTTGCCCAGCCTGGTCTTGAACTCCTGGGCCCACAGGATCCACTGCCCTAGCCTCCTAAAGTGCTGGGATTATAGGTGTGAGCCATAGCACCTGGCCTAAAATATATATTTATGTATTTTTTAATTAGCAATAGTAAACCTGTTACATATTTACTTTACCTTTTTGCAAATACTACTTTTTTTTTTTAGAGACAGAGCCTCACTTTGTCGCCCTCGGTAGAGTGTTGTAGTGTCACAGCTCACAGCAACCTCCAGCTCTTGGGCTTAGGCAATTCTCTTGCCTCAGCCTCCTGAGTAGCTGGTGCCCACCACAATGCCCGGCTATTTTTGTTGTTGTTGCAGTTTGGCCAGGAATGGGTTTGAACCCTCCACCCTCGGTATATGGAGTCGGTGCCCTACTCACTGAGCCACAGGCATCACCCAAATACTATATTCTTATTGTCTGGCTTCATGAAAGGTAGCCTTCCAGATCCTCTGTGTCAGTCTATTGTAACAGCACCAGTCACACAGCCTTAGAGGCCTCTGCTGTGAGGGCAAGAGAAAGGCAGGTCCAGCTCAGAGTTCTTATGAGGACAGTTTCCGTATCATGGAATCCCTGCAAGGTCTTAGGACCAGGACCCTCAGTGTACACTGAGGTGCTGCATATCTGGACTGCATTATCTTGTTCTGCTGAATTCTATTTTGATATTTTGGCATAAGCGTGGTTTTGGATAGCCTTAGGAAGAAACTCCGGGAAGCTGCTCTGCTGTATGCTGGAGAGGAATAGGTCTGTGCAGAGGGGAAATTGTACATGATCCCTTTCTTGAGCAGCAGAGCCATTTCCATGTGGGCGTAGGATGGGAGCTGTAACGCTTCTGGGCCACCAGTAGCTTTCCCCAGCTAGTTATATTTTCTTTTCTGTGACAGCGGGGAAGCTCGGAGCCAGGTTTTCAGCTCCCTGTCAGCTTTGGTGTGTGCTCCACATGTCTATACACTGATCATACTCTTGACTTTCTTCTTTTCCTTTCCTCCCCTCAATTTCTTCACCTGCATTTGTTGTCTATTTATGTATTTCTGTGAGATATATTATGATTCTGTGTTTTTATAAATTCTCATCTTTATTTGTATGAGATTGAGTTACAAATCCTAAGTAAAAATTTCCCTTTATCAGATTATTGTCTAAAACTTTTGTGTAAAAACATTAGCATCTAGTAGATTATAGTCTCTTTTGATTTACAGAAATTAGTGAATCACTTTCTTTTCTAGTGTTGCTTTCATGGAATTACCTTAGCTAAGTGGAAACTTAACTATCCTATATCTGGAAGTATTAAGATGTTATTTTGTTCCATTATATACTATATATAGTACAGTTACTTGGCAGTTTTGTTATTTATTACCTACGCACAGCCTCTGGCCTATTTTTCATTTTATTTCTGTCTCTTGTACACAGATACTCTTGTTAGTGTTATCATTATTGTGGAGTCATAGCAGGCTTTGTGAAACTTCCGTATATTTAACACTATTCTTAGTTATATGACTATATTTTCATCAATGTGGTTCTGCTGATTTAAAACTAGGAAAAATGTAATAATGTTTCCAGATCATACAGCATCCTTCTAGTCACTAGAGCCTGAACTTGAAGCTGAAGAAGACCCTACAGAGAAGCCCCCAGTGGTGACATGAGGGGCTTGTCTTTGTTTCATCACAGGGCTGATCTGTGTTACAAAGGAGTGCTGAGATTTAGGAATGAGTACTGTCATACTTCATGCAAAGTAAACTGGGTAAAGATCAAACTATATTTTGTATAAAATAGTCTCATAATTTTTTGAAGTATATAATGCATATCTATTGCTATTAGATACTATCATTTCAATTTTCAGAAGACTGGGCAGACTATTTAATTGATAAAGAACAAGGCTTTGTCTTCTGTAATTCTGAAGTGACACTGAGTCCCTACCTCCATCTCCACCTAGAAAACTAAGTCCAGTTGAGATGTAGGTATTGGGGTTAGAGGTGGAGACAGACCCCAGAGGGGCTTCACTGGCTTTCCTACTTTTTTTGCACCCCAAAGCATAAGCTCAAATCATCTCAGAAGGACAAGGTCCGCCAGTTCATGGCATGTACTCAGGCTGGCGAAAGAACTGCTATCTACTGCTTAACACAGAATGAGTGGAAACTAGATGAGGCCACGGACAGCTTCTTCCAAAACCCAGACTCGTTCCACAGGGAATCGACACGGAACACGGTAGACAAGAAGAAGCTGGAGCAGCTGTACAGCAGATACAAAGGTAAGAGGTGGCACAGGAAGCCAGGCGGACACACCTGTCTCTAACAGCCAGAGTAAATGGTGCGCTAGTTTGTGGTGCCTCGGAAGAAAGGGATCCAAGCTGCTGCTCCCTCTGTTCCTGAGACCCAGCTGCAGAGTCTACTGTCTCCAGTGTAAATGAGACTGACTGAGCACAGGTGGGAGATTGGGAAGAGGCGGCCACAGGTTGATCAGAAGCACACCCCACCCCCTGCTCTGCCCAGAGTTTGACATGTGACCAGCTGGTCCCAGGGGAGTCACAGCTTCATGGTGGTGACCTCTGTCCTGAAGTGATTTCCTAAGCACTTCTAATAGGCTGAAATACTTGTGGCAAGAAGGTTGTTTAAGAATAATGCCAAACCATCGAAGCGATTCTAAAGCAGGGGCAAACATCAGCATTTTTTGACTCAGTGTGCTAGTGTTTTAGCACCAAAACAACTTCAGTTAGTAGATAAGCTTTGGGAAAAGCTCTTGGCAAAGAAATCTTTATTTTGCAGGCTGGGGACAGTTGTTGTTTTTATTACCATCAGTACTTAGTCTGGAGCTTTTTCAGCTCAGTCTGTCTGCTGTACACCTCTGTCGGTCATGAATGCTTGTGCCTCGTATGTTATAAAAATGAATAGCCTGTAGGCCTCAAATTAAAATATGCAACAGTATTGTATTTGAAATTTACCAATGTTAGTAGACAGAAGTGAATAAGAGAATAAATGTTAAACTTTTAGGGTCTTTGTCCCATAAATTCTACGGAGGTGGTTTTCTCTTTAATGTGAGAGAATATAGTTGGAAGGGTATCTATAGTTTCATTCATTTAACTTATATAATTTTTCTTGGGTAAAAGTATATGCATAAATAATGTAGTATTAGTACTTAAATGACCAACGTTAAATTTTTCAGCACACGCAATCTTTATTTGAGCAAAGAAGCTACAAGTTTTCTCTTTGTACCGTCTCTAAACCAACAGAACTCATACACACCATGATGTGTGATGGTGGACGTGACCTGGAATACTAGACTCAGCTTTGGGAAGTCTTGCTGGGATGCTTTTGATAGATTTCACTGTTTGATTTTCTATAGATAAATGCTAAGTTCTTTAACTTTATTTATAAATTTTAGAAGTAGGAGGTAAGGAGCCTGGATTTCTAAGCTGTTAAATGCTAATGCTTAAAATGATTTTCCAAAATAATTACTGTCTAGTAGCACTGAAACTAGCAAATGAAATTATTTAAAAAGAAAAATCCATTCCTTTATTTTGGCAGAGTTGTATAAAACTCAAAGCACTATAAAAAACTTAGCAGGCCAGGCACAGTGACTCATGCCTGTAATCCTAGCACTCTGAGAGGCTGAGGCGGGTGGATTGCCTGAGCTCACAGGTTCAAGACCCTCCTGAACAAAAGCGAGGCCCCTATCTCTAAAAATAGTGTGATGTTGTGGTGGGCACCTGTAGTCCCAGCTACTTTGGAGGCTGAGGCAAGAGAATCACTTGGGCCCAAGAGTTTGAGATTACTATGGGTTATGATGTCACAGCACTCTACTGAGACCAACAAAGTGAGACTCTGTCTCAAAAAAAAAAAAAACTTATCAATACAGTCTCTTTTATAGCAGTTTGCCTTTCTATAAGCTTGAATCTTTATTTTAAGGAAGTTAAATTCTTAGTAATCAAGTCTTCTCAAAGAAATTTCAATGATTTTTCTACCCTAAAACCCAGAAACCTAGATTTTAAAAATAGGACTGACTGTTTTCCAGATAAAGTGTTATTTATTTATTTGCTAGTCCTTTCATATATAGTAGAAAATTGCTGACCTGTAGCTCAAGCAGCTAAGGTGCCAGCCACATACACCAGAGCTAGGGTTCAAATCCAGGCCAGGCCTGCCAAACAACAATGACAACTACAACCAAAAACAAAAAAAAAAATAGCCGGGCATTGTGGCGGGTTCCTGTAGTCCCAGCTACTTGGGAGGCCCAGGTAAGAGAACCGCTTAAGCCCAGGCATTGGAGGTTGCTAAGAGCTGTGATGTCACAGCTCTCTCTACCCAGGGTGATAGCTTGAGGCTCTGTCTCAAAAAAAAAAGAAAGAGGCTCGGCTCCTATAGCTCAACCGGCTAAGGCGCCAGCCATGTACACCTAAGGTGG